CTTCTCTCTAATGCAAGTAAAAAACCATATCTAACTATCAAAAGATTCTTTCTCAGCAATAACAAATACAAGTGGCAAAAGCTGGTTATTAGCATCAACTTCAATTGCAATAAGCATTTTACCTTTATATCTTTCATACAAATGAGTAGCATCAATACTTATAATTGGTCTACAATACTTGAACCCTTCAATGAAAGGTGAAAAAGCCCAAAAGAGACGGTGGAATAGTCTGAATACTCTAACAGTAGAATCACGCAACTGCTTAAATTGCCATATAACAATTATTCCATTATACTTTTCAGGTGCAGCAATAAATTTAGGTAATACCCTATAAGATGTGTCCCAATCACCAAAAACATTTGTATAGGCCTTCTGTTTTGCATGCCATATCTTCTTGTATGAAACATCATAAGAAAATTTGTCTCTTACCTTGGCATTCAAAGCTACAACTGTAATCGAAAGTTCAACTTTCACTTAACTTTTAATCTCATGTGCTAACAAATTTGAGTCTAGTTATGGGTGATCATGACTTAACCTTAGGTAGACACATGTATGAGGGTCATCATATTGAGTAATCTCAAAAAGTCCATGACTTTTATGTTGATACGCATGAATCTTCCATTTGCATCCATTTTTTCGATGTCTTTTACACCTCAATGACCTTTTTTTTTTTGTTTCCACCACTTCATACTTTTGGTGTCTTTTGATGGAATACAATTGTACAGCTCTTTTCAATTCTGCCTTATCTTGGAAAATTAAACCTTTTCTCAACTCAAGATCAAGATTCCAAATAAAACTTTGGCTTTGTGGTGTCCAATTACTAGTAATACCATCATCAACTTGATAATATTGGTGAAAAATGACATGTTTGGCTCATGAAGTGGCACCTCTATAGTGGTACTATCAACTTATAGGTTGACATCTTCAAAATCTTCTTACTCTTCATGTTTCTCATTTTCTTCTTCAAGTACTTCATTATTCACATTCATATCTTAGAATATATCATTAGATTTAGAATAAACTAATTGTTCCACTGTAGTTATATTTACACTTGTATCTTTGTCATATTGGCTAATACTTTTGTAATTTAAAAATCCAAAAATATTACCTATGACTGATACTTGCCTTTCCATGGTAGGTTCACTACTACTTGGCAAAATTGGATGATTAGCATGGTGGGCATTACCATGATCTAATGAAGTGTCATTGTCTTGTGTTGGCAATTGAGCAAATGGAACAAAACTTATGGATTGACCCTTATATTTGGCAGGTCCAATAAAAATTGATTCCACTTCTAAATACAATTCAACATTGCTAATAGAAGGATGAATAAATGGAATTTTCAACATGATATCTATGTTGGCATCATCCATAATAGGTAAACGAATATATTTAATCATTGATGATTGCACTATTGTTGGATACTGAAAAATCAAATTTAGTCGTGCTCGCTCTCTATCAAATCCTGTAATACAATACATCTTGTCCATCAATGTGTTGAATTTTATTTTTTGCTTCAATTTAATTGCTCTTAAAAAATGACCATCATAACATAAGCCATCTGATCCTTCAATGAAGCTACCATTCCAATAACAAAAAATTAGAATTTCTCTTCCAGACATTACCATCTAGCATTAAAATAATAAAAAATAATTATTAGCTCAATATCATAAATAATAAGAATTCAATAATATATAAAATATGCCATTTGCAATTAGCTTTGGATACAAAAGTAAACAATTCAAGTAGAAAAGCCATTCACTTTGCCAAGCTATTTACGACATAAAAAATTTAAAATCAACTTACTTTTAATTCAAACAATGCAATTGAAGTTGTATTGCATATATCTTTGACTAGAGATTCTACCTATAATTAGAAATTGTAAACAAAAATATAAGCTAAAAGTATGATTTTTCATTCATTTATGAAAGAAGTCCATAAACAAGCAATATTCACATGTTGATTAATGCTCATTGTAAACTTTATGAAATATTAAACTCTGGTCTTAAGCCTTGTATGGCTTGATCATGAAGAAAGTTACATAAGCAATTATGTCCTTAATTATATGGTTTATCTTAGCTCAAGTTCAAATTTTGAGTTCATAAAAAAAAAAAAAAAGAGAATGATGCAATAATGACAAACAAATTTCTTTCTATCAAGAAAAAAATTGATAACAAAAATATTTTAAATTAAAATAACTCAATAAATTATGGTCTATACATGTAAAAACAAAGTCTATTGGTATGAATTCTACTAATTTTGCTTGCCTAATTAACATGGAGATTATATTACAATTCAACACCACAACTACAAGGTTTAGGATTATTACATAATCGAAAAATTTTTTGAGATCAAGAACAATACTGCCAAATATAATTCCCTTTGCAAACCTTTGTGCTCCAAAATTTTGTAGAAAAATTATGTTTAATAAAAATGTAAAATATAGGGAGAAAATAGATTTAGGGTTTATAAGAGATTATAATTTAATAAAAAAAAAAAAACCTTACACGTTCAATGTTTCAATTTTAAAAAATATGTTTTTTATTTAAATTGTTATTTAAAAAAATATGATATGAAGCTGACATGTCATTGACATGGCATAAATATTTTTCTTAAAGAAATAAGTTAAAAGTACTCATGTTAAGGAATAAAGATTTTAAAAAACCTTGCTGTTGGAAAAAACTCCTTTTCAATCACATTGACGGGAGGAAGTATGGTACTTTTACAGTTTGAATCCAAAGAAGATATGTTCAGCATGCTTGAGGGTGGCAGAATATGGCTTGAAGAATGGTTCTTTTGGACAGTGCCTTGGAGCCATGACTTAATAAGCTATGATAAATTTATTTGGCTCAAGCTGGAAAACATTCCGTTCTATGCATGGTGCTATGAATTCTTCAAGAAGGTAAGGAATAAGTGGGGCACTTTCATCACAGTAGATGATAGTACCTTGAGGAGAAGGCATTTTAATGTTGCTAGAGTTTTAACCCTTGTTAGGAAAGATGCTTTCATCCCAAACTTATTCACAATTCTGTTAAAAGGAAGCTCTTATAAAGTTAAAGTTACGTTGGAAGGATGTTACGATTTCCTACGGAATTCGGGGGTGAAACAAACTGTTCAACTAAAATCTAGTGCATCATCATCATCAAGCTCCAGTTCTTTTGAAAATAACACAGTGACAGGTTTCCGTGAAGAAGAAGAATGGTCAGGTTGGGAGCATGGGGCTCCGAACAGACAAAGCGTGAATGCATTCTCGAATCAACTTGCTTCGAAACTCGTTGGCCTGAGAAAACGAAAAGATAATGAAACCTTGGGAATGGATGACACAGCTGTGGTTGACGGTCAGAAGCAGTCAAATTCAAACAAGTCATATGCCCAAGACAAGGCTGAAGTGGTTGGGTGGATTATCAATGCCAATGATAAGTAAATAATTGGTGAAGAAAGATTATGCTCTGATGAGGACATACATTCTCCTGTTAAAGTCTAAATAGGTAATGATTATAGGTCTACTCATGACCCAGATTCCACAACTGGGTCACATGCTAGTTTTGGGCTTGAATTAGGCAAAGAGAGTGATGCGGGCCAGCATAAATCAGTAAATAGCGAGGAGTGTTGGGCTGAAATCCAAAATGGGACTTGGATAGAAGAAGATGTGGAAAATGTTGAGAAAGTTTCTGAGATAGATCTGGGTAGCATGGCTGTGGAAAACCGTGGAAAAACCCAAAGTGGAAGAAAAGGTACATTGTGACCGAGCATCCCACCTCCTTAAAAGGAGTTCTAATAAAAAAAACTCCTTTATTTTTTATATTTTTTAATGAAGAAAGTTAAAACAAATGAAAGAAAGAAGCTGATAATGCTACTTAATGGCTTTAAAAATGTTCAAAATTAATCAAAATCAATAAAATTTAACTTATGAATTTCGTCCTGATACAATAAACAATCAAAACATTTCCCTTTTCAACGAGCAATTTAAAACCCAAATACGAATCATATGAAATATTTGAATTTTGATCCAATTGTATTTGTGTTATAATCATGTCAACACATTTATCACATAAAAATGTTTGAATTTGATGTGAGTTTGACCAATCTAACATATACATCACATAAAATTAATCTTATTCGTATATATGTTAATTTATATAACGATTTTTATATCTGACACTTAAACATAACATTCACATCTCATCGTGACTTTCACTGTTCTACATGCAAAACGTTCATTATGGGTTAATTATTAATAGGAACAGCAAGAAAAAAATTGTAAAGTCAAATCAAAATAAAAAATAAAAAAACCCACATAAATTAATTATAAGATCCAATTAATAAACCATATGTGTTAAAGTTCAAAAGATTTCTTAATAAATTTTGATATTTTTATTTAAATTTGTGATGTAGCTATAAGTTATGGTAAATTTTTTTTATTGTTAATCAATTATTGATTAACTTTTTTTTTTAATTTTTGTTTAATTAATTTTCAAATATGATTGATTTACTTAATAAGTTTTACTAATCTATCAATTTTGGTTAGAAATGCCAAAATGAACATACAAAAAAAAAAAAAAAAAAACTCAACCAAAACAATTCGAACCTAATTAAACTTGAATTGACTTGATTCAAAAATTCAAAATATTCAAAATTATATATAACTCAAATTCAAAACAATCCGCACCATAACATTGATTTGATCAAAACATGCAATGATCTAAATTAAAATTATCGACTTTTATTAATTGCCAAATTTGATTTAAGTCAAATTCAAGACAATCCGACTAAAAAATATCCATATCTAAAACAGATATTTTAGCAAGTGAAACGCCACTAAATATCCTTAGGCTCGGAGGTTCAAAAGTCAATGTTTTCCTGCATGATAGGGCTCATCCCGCTCGGATTTGGAGTTGGGCTCGTGGAGCAATATGTAATACCAGATATCGTGGGCGAAGCATAAAGGGTTTCTTGGTCTTGATTTTCCAAGGGTCCTAGAAAAGGCACTAAATGTGAGCCTAGAGTACAAGTGTGCCTTCCGTGGTAAGTGATCTCAAAGATTGTTGGGTCGTCATCAGATCGCTGAACTTGCTTTTGAGCCAGACAACCTTGTACATTTCCGGATATGCACCAGTAATAGCTTCTGTAATAAAGAAAAAAAAAGGATGGTCATTGGTTAAGCTATGATTTTACATGTAGAATAGTGGTTATACAGCTAACTGTTCAATGATAGAAGAAGAAAAGAACAGCTAAATCCAGTTAAATTTGTCATCATGCTCTAGTATATATGAGTTTCAGGCAAAGCTCAATGGCAAGAATATGCGGAAAAATTTATGAATTGCAGGCAGGAAAGCTTTAACCAGTGACATATTGACAACAGATAAGGTCAGGCTTTTAGGACTGCCAAAAGACTCTTCATGTTTTAGAATTGAAATGGACCAAATATCAATTGCTAATTATTCTCGTGGAGCATTACTTAATATATATACATATATAGAGTATAGATTTGCATTATGCTTTCTTCTTATGCATTACAAAAGGAAAATTCTCAACCTTGGTATATTTTGATCCGAGAATTTCTTTCTGTTCATATTTCCTCCAAGAGAAGCCATCGTCTGGAGGTACCTCCCAAGCCCGTAGATGGAACTCGGATTAGTGCCGTCCATCTTGACAGAGTTTTTCTGCAACATAACAATCTATTGCATGAAATGACTTGGAAGTTGGGACAAGGCTTGATTAACGAGTTGAGTTGAGTTAGTTGTGTTGTAAAGTGCTTGTGTTTTATCTATACCTTTTCTTGGAGTCATCTTCGAGCTCCTGTTCCTCGAAATCACAGTGATGGACCTCACTCTGGGGAGTACTTCCAATACGAGGAGGTTGTGACTCTGACATTCTGATTGCTTGTTCTGAGGGCTGTGCCTCTGCCACCAAAGAGGTATTGCAGTTCAGCATTGAAAATGCTTTACAATACGTGGACAATACAGAAGAGGTTCCTTGGTCTTGATTTTTCAATGGTCCTGGGGAAGGCACTACATGTGAGGCTAGAGTACAAGTATGCCTTCCACGGTAAGTGATCTCAAATATTGTTGGGTCATCATCTGATCGCTTTACTTGCTTTGTAGCACAACAATTTTGTACATTTCGGTGGGTGCACCTGTAGTAGGCTCTGTAATAAAAAAAGGACGGTTTCGGTTAAGCTAGGATTTTACATGTATAATAATGGTCACACATCTAACTCTTCAATGATAGAAGAAGAAAAGAATATGTAAATCCAGCTAAATTTGTCATCATGCTCTAGTATATGACGTCAGGCAAAGCTCAATGGCACTACTATGCAGAAACATTTATATGTTGCGGGCAGGAAAGCTTTAATCAGTGACATGTTGACAACAGATAAGGTCAGGCTTTATGACTTAGGACTCTGGTAAAAGGCTCTGCATGCTTTAGAATTGAAATGGACCAAATATCTATTGCTATTATTCTCCTGGAGAATTAGTTAATATATATATATGTATACAGAGTATAGATATGCATTATGCTTTTGTTCTTATTCATTACAAAGGGAAAATTCTCAAACCTTGGATATTTTGTGCCGAGAACTTCTTTTTGTCCATATTTTCTCCAAGAGAAGCCATCGTCTGGAGGTACCTCCAAGCATGTAGACGGAACTCGGATTAGTTCCGTCCATCTTGACAGAGTTTTTCTGCAACATAACAATCTATTGCATGAAATGACTTGGAAGTTGGGACAAGGCTTGATTAACGAGTTGAGTTGAGTTGTATTGTAAAGTGCTTGTGTTTTATCTATACCTTTTCTTGGAGTCACCTTTGAGCTCCTGTTCCTCGAAATCACAGTGATGGACCTCACTCCGGGGAGTACTTCCAATACGAGGAGGTTGTGACCCTGACATTCTGATTGCTTGTTCTGAGGGCTGTGGCTCTGCCACCAAAGAGGTATTGCAGTTCAGCATTGAAAATACTTTCCAATACGTGGACCATACAGAAGAGGTTCCTTGGTCTTGATTTTCCAATGGTCCTGGGGAAGGCACTACATGTGAGGCTAGAGTACAAGTATGCCTTCCGTGGTAAGTGATCTCAAATATTGTTGGGTCATCATCTGATCGCTGTACTTGCTTTGTAGCCATACAATCTTGTACATTTCGGTGGGTGCACCTGTAATAGGCTCTTTAATAAAAAAAAGGATGGTTATTGGTTAACCTAGGATTTTTACATGTATAATAATGGTCATACATCTAACCGTTCAATGATAGAAGAAGAAAAGAATATGTAAATCCGGCTAAATATGTCATCATGCTCTTGTATATATGACGTCAGGCAAAGCTCAATGGCACGAATATGCGGAACATTTATATATTGCAGGCAGGAAAGCTTTAATCAGTGACATGTTGACAACAGATAAGGTCAGGCTTTATGACTTAGGACTCAGGTAAAAGGCTCTGCATGCTTTCGAATTGAAATGGACCAAATATCAATTGCTATTATTCTCCTGGAGTATTAGTTAATTTATATACGTATATAGAGCATAGATATGCATCATGCTTTTGTTCTTATTCATTACAAAGGGAAAATTCTCAAACCTTGGATATTTTGAACCAAGAATTTCATTTTGTCCACATTTTCTCCAAGAGAAGCCATCGTCTGGAGGTACCTCCAAGCCTGTAGACGGAACTCGGATTAGTTCCGTCCATCTTGACAGATTTCTTCTGCAACATAACAATCTATTGCATGAAATGAATTGGGAGTTGGGACACCGCTTGATTAACGAGTTGAGTTGAGTTGTATTATAAAGTGCTTGTGTTTTATCTATACCTTTTATCGGAATCATCTTTGAGCTCCTGTTCCTTGAAATCACAGTCATAGACCTCACTCCAGGGAGTACTTCCAATAGGAGAAGGTGGTGACTCTGACATTCTGATTGCTAGTTCTGAGGGTTGTGGGTCTGCTGCCAAAGAGGTATTGGACTAAGAATTCATTAGTTTCATGAGAACAAGTTTTATGAATACTTTAAAATGTTTGGCAGGCATACATGCATGCATAGCATGTTGTTTTATAATTTAGTCAGCAATACTCCTAAAATGTGTAGCATGAACTTTCTAAAATGGCAGAATATGCATCAGCTGATTTTCTGCTCTTGACTAAATGAGAGTACCTTTGGATTAAACTAGGAAATGCTGATAAAATATCCTCCCAAAGACTCGAATTGAATAATTACCTGATTGTTGAGATTCATCTCGAATCAAAGCTTCAGGAATACCTTCATATTCTGCCAATTTCAAATGCATCAATAGAAGCAAACTGGCTTTCCAAATAAACAGCAAAATAGGGATAAATAAATCTGGCAAGTGTCAATAAATGGATTGGATTATCCAGGCCCTGCACAAATTCAAGTGCATGCAATCCTTTTGGTTTTTTATTTAATATTAACCTCAACTTGTAATATGACAAGGGTGATTCATATTTCAAGAAATGTTCATCATTTAGATATAGCTGTCTTTCTCTATCTGCATCTAGACTTAGTTGACAGGAAAAAAAAATTAGAAACCTTAAAGTTCAGAAGAATTAATTACCTGGTTGTACACCTATATCTTGTATTGGTGCTTCAAATACATCTTCATAACCTGCCAATTTCAAATGCACCAGACATTACTAACAGTTTTTCTCAAACAACAGTTTTTTTAGGCATTGAATGTGTAATGTTTCTGACATAATTTCTAGTGCAACCAAATGAGAGAAACAGAACAGTTGAGCACATTCCTCCACTGCTACCCTCTTTATGGTACAATTTATGAGATAACTCATTTTATTCTTTTTTCAGATTTACATTTAATTTCTCCCTAAGCATTTATATACACACACTTGCGAGAAATGATGTATCAGGTTGCATAAAATGTTGTAAACTCCAACACGATTTAGGATATGCCTGTGAAAATTTCTGATTTAGTTATTAACCATCAACTTACAATTACAAAACAGAGAGGATAAAATCATTCCTATTAAAGCAGGATTCGAGATTCAATGAACATCATTGCTCTCTAATTTGCATCAAAATTGATCATATGATGATCAAGGAAGGATACTGCCTCCCCACCTTTTGTAAGGCTGATAGTCTTACCTGAATCAGCAGCATCTTCCACGTAATTGGCCCTATGATCATTACAAAGTCGAGTGTGCAAATTATACAATCCCATGTTATAACAGCCATGGTTATGTACCCCTTCATAGGTGGTGATCAAAAAGCTTGTATCTTGGTAGTCTCGCTCAACCCTTTTCTTCGCTGGACAACCCATTGTCGAACATTTGTAGTAGCACCTATACAGAGAGGATAAAGGCACGGAAAAAGTAATAATTATATCAACAAAACTGTTTAGCAACTTCAGAACTTCCTTAACAATATTAGGTGAAGTAATCACCGGAGATGGGGATTTCCCTTGACAGATTTCTTTTTCTTTCCATATTTCCTCCATTTATAACCATCACCAAGTACCACACTGTTGCTTCTGGTTCGAACTGCAACTCTATGCCCTCTTGTAGTTTTGCTCACAGAACCTATGACACCCTTGTTTTCATTCTCAGTACAGTTGCTGCAAAATGTTAAACCACTCCATTAAAATTCTCCTTCATAAAACCTTACCCACAAGCTTAATTATATTTAACCAAACCACTTGCATAATTGACTTCCATAAGTTCAATTTCATCCTTGGTGTGAGGACTGAAAGACATTTAAAGGTGTTTTACATTGGAGGAACAGGGACTGCAAACAGAGCAAAATAACCCTTCTGGTTTAAGGAAGTGAAGGGCACTACTGTTGGATAAAAATGGTTAAATAGTAATACGTATAAGTAACACTAGAGAACAGCAATGTCTACTTCACAGAGTACATCAATAAAAATGCTTAACTGACCTTCTTTTGGCCTTAGGTTCATCTTCATCAACGTCTACTTCACAAATTTCTGCAGCCTGATCAAAGTAACCATCTTCTAGCCTCTTGTTCTTCTCTGATGAAAAAAAGCTCAATGCTTGTTTTGGTGCCTGAAATTTGAACAAATTCAGTGTAATGATAATGGAGAATCAAGGCTGAAAAGTAAGATTTGATTCAAATTAACAAAATCAAATACAATACACTTAAATTATGGTTGTTGAAGGTTAAGATATCTTGTGGGGTTGACTATAAATTATAATCATGCTCGTCACTACGAGGAATTGTTTATAAATCAGAGAATTCTGCTATAATTTTTTTTTAAATTGAATTAGATATACCTACCTGTATGTAATTAAAACAATGGATAAAAACTTAATCAATCCAGTAATGCCTATTGCCATCATTGTAAACAAAACATCACTATTAACATCCACGTTCTGATTTCTCTATTTTTGTTAAATTTAGTCCCTCTGCTTCAATTGCAAATATCCTTTTACTTTCATAAAAAGTTGATTACAGTTAAATCCTTAACACTATTAAGGAAAGGCCTTAACTCGTTAAGTTGATCAATTTGACCCTGACATGCCGTGCCATCTTGAAAAACTTTTTGCCCCACAGCACACAAAAAATGGCAACAAAAAGGATTTAAGTTCCAAATTCTTGAAGCAATTGAGATAAGTCTCGGGTTCAAAAAAATTTTAATAGCACAAAATATATGTAAAATTTTAAAAAGTTGCAATAAAAACAAACAAACAAAGAGAGGAGAAGGAAAGAGGGAAATTCAGAAGGGGAAGGGGATGCGGTACAAATCTGACTTATATCGGCCAGATTGACTTCAATATGAGGGATCAAACCTAGACTTGGACCAAAGTATAACAAAATTCGGACGGCTTGGCTATATATACTTGTATGGTTATGCATATCCAAGATTTACACAGTTTTTCTGTTTAAAAGAAAAAGGTAATCTAGATAAAAATAAAAATAAAAAAAATCATTAAGACACAAGTATTTAAAAAAATTACAATGACAAACAAAAACAATCAAGATGGTTCAATTGTTAAATTAAGTTTAATATTTTGAATAAGTTGTACACAACAATATTTAGGGTTTCATTTCTTAACCGGCCAAGCAAATTGTCAAGTTAAAGCTTCTAATTTCATGGTTTAAGAAGATCCAGCATTTCCAGTCAGAATGACGGACCGTCAAGATAGTAAAACTAAAAACCCATATAAAACAAAAGATTGTAAGATAAAACAATGTATGTTGTGTTTGGTTGCTCTGTATATTGATATATCCTTACATCAAACGTCCTCAAAGGATTGGATGGAAGTATACATGACGAAGAAGAATTTGTCAAGTCCGTCCCCGTCCATGAATTGGATGGAAGTATGCATGACGAAGGGGACTTTGTCCCGTCTGTCCCCGTTATTCTGTCCTCCTTATAATCTAACAGTAATGAACAGTAATTACCTAAAAGAGTTAAAGACACCAAAAATAAGAAGAGTCGTCTTATAAGGGTTGCAAAGAAAAATTACCTGAGCACTGGCCTTTATGATCTTGTGTTGAAACTTCGAGCAACTTTTCATCATCTACCAATGTTCAAAATGAGCAATGTTAAAATCTTCACTTCTCATCAGTTGTTAGCAAACTTTTTTTTTTAACGTTATGACTTGGCTTTGGTCTCTTCCAATTAGTTTTTTTTAGGACGATAATAAAATTTTACTTGTTATCATGAAAACAAAAAATTCAGGACTCATGTTATCCAGAAAATAAAAAGTTCATTTTCTAATTAAATTGATCTAGCACATAAGCTAATGATTAATAATAATAAAAAAAAACCTAAGATTAAAAGATATATTACCATTTTGTTGGGCTTCATTTTGTATGATAGCTTCAAGTAGATCCCTGTCTTCTGTCAATTGGGTCATAACATCTTTCTCATTACTGATAGGGCAAAAGATACGCATCAGATAATCTGGCCGATTTCCCCACTCCGTTTCATTCCAATTCAAATCTTCCCACCACTGACATTCTCCTTTGATTATCTTCAAAGTTTTGCTTGACAATTCCATTTTTGTTATGCTTTTGAGCTTTGGGCAATTATAAAAGCCTATGCTTTCTAATTTTGGTGCTATTAATAGACCATTAGAAATGCTGACCAGTCCAGGAAGGTAGAGAAGCAGCAATCTTTTCAAACTAGGGAGAAATTTATTTGACATCATTGGCTTGACAGATGCACGGCTTACCAGGCTGGTGACTTGGGGGCAGTCCTCAACGATAATCTCCTCCAAGTTGACAAAATTTTCAAGCAAAGTACGAGCGAAAATATGTCTTAGCTGGGGGCATGTATGCAGCGCTAGGAATTTCAACCTAGACATACATCCACAACGATTTGGTCCTCTCCAAATACTCCATAAATTTTCCATGTAATAAATGCTCAAATATTCTAGAGATTCAAGCACATGTTCTGCAGAACCAGTGTCAGATTCAGATTGACCATCTTCATTTCTTTCGTCATGCATCTCTCCATCAATTAGGGTTTCCATCTTATTACACTCTGCCAACAAGCAAAATTTTAGCCTTTTCATATTCTCGATCCCAAATTCAGATAGATTCATAGCGGTTGCATGGTTGTCCAAGAAAAATGAAGAAGAATATTTGAGTACCGCTTCTATTTCGATTGGGATGTTTATACCATTCACAAACTTCAAGCATTTATCCCAATTTCTGAATTCTGCTTCAACTTCATGAGGTACACGAGATATGATTCTCCTTTTATGATGGCCAACCGTAAAACTAAAGTGTGACAATGAAGGATACATCGATGATAAATTATCTAAAAGTTGGAATTTAGGCAGGTACAAGCTAAGAGTCTTCACTGTTTTTGAGTTGCATACTTCCTTCACAACGGCTTCCACAGAATCATCCCACCTCTTGTCTGCCGGATTCACATCAATGCTTAATTCAGCAAGTTGCGAAAGAATTGATATTGTCTGAGGGTGAATCACAAAGTTTGATTTCGACTCCTTTTTGCCACAGATATGATAAAATGATACTCTCAAATGACTTGACTAACTTTCCAATCTTTCTTGGCAGATGCATGATCTGAGTTTCATCAAGATCAAGCTCCTCGAGATTTTTAAGTTTACCAACCTGAGGTGATAGTTCCATGAAGAGTTCACAACCTCGTAGCAAGAGCTTTTTTAATGAAACCAACTTGGGAAGAGATTTTGGCAAAGATTTGATGCTAGTATGGGACAAATCTAATACTTGGAGAAGGGCCATGCGCCGAAAGAATAGGGGGGGAATAGCTGCCAGCTCATAATTCCCTTGCAAATACAATGCAATCAATGAAGAGCAGTTTGGAGATTTTGGTAGCTCAGACACTTTATGTTTATCATCCGTTAAATAGATCTCATTGTCTGCCCATTCTTCTTCCTCTCGCAGCTTGGGCAATCCTGACCCACTTGGCTTAGGAACAGACTGCTGCATTTTGGCTGAAGTATGATGTATGCTCTCAGTCAATTCCAAAAGATCTTGCCTTACAAAGTACTCTGTTTGTAAAGCATCAATTACAGTTTGAAGAGTAGAATATAATCTCCTTCATCTTGTATATAGACCGAATAATCTTTGAGCGATTGAGAAATAGAAGTTAATTACCACTACTTCTATAAAAAGAGTATAATCTCCATGTATATTTTTTGCTGTAATATTCATGGAAAAATATTTTTGCAGTTCAATATTTCAAATAAATAAGTTGACCTAAGAGAAATAAAAAGGTATGATATATTTTTCTTTCTTCCACATCTATCACCATTATTTCCTATAGGAATTACAACAAGCCTAGTATAAACATTTGCATTTGCATTATAAACCAGAAATTGGAATAAACTACAAAACTACCGTGGACTATGGAGTATGGCCTGAGAAATTAAAGAACAGTTCTTGCATTTTCTTCTATAGCCTAAACGAACAAAAACCCACAATCAGCAAATCTCAGGTTGAGAAGGCCCTAATTATTATTATTTATCCATTTAAATACGAATCAAACTATTAAATTAATAGTGTTATCCCATATCTATGAAGTTTAAAATTTAAAGAGTTATTTTTGGAATTCAAATCTTAACAATTATAATATTCAAGTTATATTAGTTTATAAATGTATAGTAACGTATAAAGTAAATTGCATCATCAGTCATTTAATTAAGCTTGTTAAACTTTTGATTTTAACCCATAATATTATTATGTTAGATATATAATTTCTTCGAAGCATATACTACATAGGCCCTATCCTTGCGACACCCATGGAGTCTTCTTTTAAACAATTTATCCAAGGTAGAGGGCCGATAAAATAACTTAACAACATTAAATTCATTGTCGTAAGCATAATTTGCTAAAAAATCCTTCATAAAAATTGTTGTCTTTATAAATGTAAACAAGAGAAAAATTCGAACCCATGAAAAATAAGCTAGATAAGCATGAATAACCTAATAGAGAAGATCATTGTCATACAGTGGTTGTAGAATTAGATATTTAATTTATTATCATCTTCCCTAACAGGGTGCCTATCATGTGAGATTTTTTCCGACTTAAAGCATGGACACAAATGAATAAATTTAATAATTTTAAATATGATATAATAATAAAATATAACAATAATATGAAAAAAGACATAAAAATGATATAGTTTAAAATTTTAATAAAAATTAAAATTATATATAAATTTAGCAAAATCAAAAAATAAATTTCATATTTGAAATATTGATCCTAATTTAACATATAATTTTCATATTTTAACACATTTAATAAGAAATAAATAGGATACAAATATGTGAATTATTATATTTATATAAAATAATTGAAAATTATTAAACATAAATTATTAAATATACTGATAGTTAAGTTTTTTAATTTATAAATAAGATTAAGATAGTAATACATGTCCCTTAACATATATTTAAAAAATAAAAAAAAATAAATTAAAAAATGAAATATATGTCATAATCTAAATCTCATTTGTAGAATTAAAACCTCTTAGTATAGCAAATAATATTTCAAAATAATTATGGTGATTAAAAATCGGATATATAACTTACATATATACATGCATCTTTTTCATTTTTTTTTTGGCTGTCTATTATTTTGAATTGTTTTATCTTCAACAAGGATAAGGATGAATCGATTATAAAGCCTAACACACAAATCAAAAGGAGAGCTTATCAAACATTCAAATGCTTGCATTTAAAGTTATAAACCGATAACCAAAGAGATGAAGAAATTAAAGAAAAATTAGTAAACTCACCTGCAAGAATAGAAGCCCATAGCTGGATTAAATGCTCGCATATAAAGCGATTGGGTCCTGCTTGTTGTCGAAGAGATAAGTAGAAAGTCTCGAGCGGGGTTGAAGTCGAGATTGCTATCCTTATCCAATTCGCTAGCGGGCTAAATGTTTTTGAACGGTAGTCTAGTCCTAATGAAGTACACTCGTCCAATTCCTATCCTCAAACTCTAAAACTAGGTTATGTAAATGTAGTCCAATAATTGAAGGGTCCCTTTTGTCCCAACAATAATTTTACTTTTAACAAGGGGAAAGTACTCACTTACTTTCCATCTCCCTTCCTTGGAATCGCTTAGGTCAGATACCTAAAAAATAGATGTAAGAAAAATGAAAAAAATTAAAAATTGATTTGTAATGTTTGGATTCTTTTTTTTTTTTTAATTTAGTTCGATTTAAATTTAGATATTATACGTTTTGAATTGATTTGATTTTTGATAAAAAGTAAAAAATAAAAAATATTTGAATTTTATCGAATTATGTATTTTTATTAATTTTTATATATTTTAAAGTTTTTATAAAATAAAATTAATTGTTTTTTTATATCTAAATTTATTTAAATATATTTAAAATAGTATCAAAAGAATAACAAATAATTTTAAAATTTTTTTCAAAAATCAAAAAATCGAATTATTAAAATTCGATTCGTATCAATTTGATTTTAAGGAGGTCAATTTCAATTTGGATAGGGTTTTGAAAATTCATATACTATATATTAACCAAAATAGTCAGACTTAATTTGAATCAATCCAATTCATTATCATCTCTATTTAAAATGAGCTTTTTCTTTTAAAAAAATTAAAATTAAATTTGACAATTCGTGTATTTATATTTATTTATTTCATGTTTAATATATATAAAATATAAAAATTATCATATCATAATTCGTATTATCATGTCAAACACAAAAAATATATATAGTTTTTATTCTTATCAAATTCATATATAATTTTTATTAAAATTTTAAATTATATTGATTTCATGTGTTTGATTTCTTTTTTTTTTTTTTTTGGTCATGTTACTGTACGTGTTTAAGATTAAGGAGTCCAGTTAAAACCATACTTCCTTTCAGTTAGATGGTTAGGAAATTTCTTTTCTAGGATCCTCCATGTATCCAGGAATGAGTGTGATCCTGATATCTCCAAGAAACGATGAACAACAGGCAGACAACTTCAAAGTCTAACTTTAATTATGTATTTTATTTGCCCGTACAGAATTATGTGCACCAAAATAATATCCTTACAATCACACATTAATACATTTATACATACATATATATATGTATACTTTTCACGAAAAATCTTATTGGCCAACGATGGAAGAAATAAAAAGAAAAAATAGACAAGAAAACAACAACATTCATTCACCGTTTAGCTTTGTCAAGACCTATTTCCTCACGCCTTGCTCGTAACAATGCCGAGTCAATCTTTCATTCTCATAGGTCAAGCAACCCAGTCAATTACGCCACTTCCGAAAAATACCCTGCATCCAGGAGGAGTGGGGTAGCCCGGTAATAACAATAATAATTAAAAAACCCTTCAATTTTTAAGTTTTATATAATGTATTTTTTAAATTGATATAAATAAATTTATTTAAATCATGTTTAATGAATTTATGAAATATTAAGTTTTTTTATAATTTTTCAATAAATTCAAACTCAAAGCAGTAAAAAGAACCACCCCTGTTGGTATTAAATCAACATCCGTCATTAAATGGCTTTCAATTGCTACTATCATTTGGTCATTTCCTTCCTCCACGGGCAATTTTGGACACAAATATTAACGCCTTATGGAATTAAGTGTATTTGAATTTATGTCCAATCGTAATTGTGTGATGATGATGTTAACACATTTAACCACGTAAAATGTTGAAATTTTATGTGAGTTTGATTAATCTAACATGTCTATCAACACAATTATTTTGTTCACACATCAATTCAATTTCACATTACAATTTCTATATCCAACGTTTAAATTAACTTAACATTCAACAGTTCACCATGACTTCCACTGTCTCCACATGCATAACGTCCATTATCGCTGATTTTTAGTTGGAAGAGCACCAAAGAATTTGTGAAGTTCTCAAATTACAAAGTGGTCAACATCAAAAATAAAAGGTCAAGATCAAAATCCATATATAGATTAATTATAAGATTCAATTAATAAATCATATAAGGTTCAATAACAGATTTGAAAATCGCTAGACGAATTTAAAAATAAGACAAAGAATTACCATCAATCTTTTTTTATTAGATATGACTTATCACTTATTAAAATTAATAAAATATTAAAATTTATTTATTAAAATGCTAATTTTGGGGTTTAACAAAAACATTAGGGTCTAAGGAGTCCATTATATTTGGGGAAGAATTAGCACCCTACAACACTTAACGATACACAATTAATTATATGTTATTCTTTGAATTTTGTCAAAAATGCTCTTAAGTTTGGTATTTGTCAATAATTTCCTTAATTTATTTTATTCATCACAATTTTGACTTTTTTATTTTTTTAATATTTTAATATTTATAATTTTATGTGAGGAAAAATAAGCAAGAGTTTTGTTATTGAAATAATTTTTAAAATGTTTTAGTATATTGGTAACATTGAAAGAATTTTTCTCACTTAGAGATTTTTAGATATCGTTACTCAGAATATCTTAAAATCCTATATTCGATAGCTCATATTTATTTTTTTTAAAAATATGGTGTTATGCATGTAATACAAATATTGAAATATTAGTTTGTATATTTTATTTATACCATGTTAATTTTTTTTATTTTTTAAAAGAAAAGAAAATTTTTATTATATTGAAAATTTTTCATAAATACCTCAATACGTTGGAAGTATTTAAAAAAAAAAATTTTTACCTAGAGATTTCATAGATATCACTACTCGAATTACCTTAGAATCTCATCATCAGATAAAAATTTTCTTTCTTATTTTTTTATTTTTTTTATCTATTTTTATTTTCATTTTATTTTTTTTAAAGAAATAGTGAAATTTTAAAATGATCTAAATTTTAAATTTTATTTTCTTTAAAAACTATTTATTTTGGAACATAAAAAATTAAATTAAGAAAAATAATAATAAAAAGATAAAAAATGTAAATTAAAATAAAAAAGAAAAAAAAAAGAAAAAAATTGAACTAGTCAGTCAATGGATTGGTAAATGATTTGGCAATTCGACCTGGTTTATGTTGGTTCAATTGGATCGATCCCTGGTTTGATGGAGAAGTAGGTCGTAAGTCGGATGCACGGACCTTGAGTCGAATTCAAGTCTCTGTGCAGATTCTCTTTGGGCTAAAACTGTGTCATTTCATTCCCTTTTTTTAAGCTTATAAAAATAAACCCTTTTTCAAAACATTTTAACTCATTCACTTAAAAAAAAAACTTCAAACCAAAAAAAAATCCCTGACTTCCCTGCCTTCATTATTGTTGAACGCCGTGTTGATCATTGGAAAATTGCACAAAAAAAAAATTTCCCTTGGCCCTTTAATTGCCAATCTAGCTTCATTTTCTTCCAAAATTTCTCTAAATTTCCAAGATCTGCCTACAAAATTTCAACCAAAAAAATATATTTTTTATTTTTTTTGTTACTTGATCTTGGCGCTATGTTCCCCATTCTAAGGGATGCTTTTTTTTGCTCTTATGTGTTTGATTTTTTTTTCCAATAAGGTAAAATTTTTTTCTATTTTTCTAGGTTTTGACAAAAGTTTTTTTTTTTGGCAAAGCTTCTTTCTTGTTTTTCCCCTCTTGTCTGATCTCCCTAGAAGGCTTTGTAGACACTTCATTTTATCCAAAAATTTTTTCAAAATCGAAAAAGAGGCTTTGGCTATAAATTAGGTCTAATTAGGAAGCTTTAGGCCTAATAGAAAAAATTTTAATTTTAATTTGATTTATTATTTTTTGGTTTTATTTTATTTTATTTAAAAAATTAAAAGTAAAAAAAAAAAAAAAGCCAGAGTAAAAAAAAAGAGTCAAAAAATGAAAAAGGGCAAGTTTGAAAATCCAAAAAAACAATGAATTGAAAGATCTTGGATTTGATCTTCTTGAGCTTGATTTATGTAAAATCAAATTAATTCACAATAAAATCCCAAATGATGTGGAAAATTTCCAAATTAAAGAGGTTTTGATCTTTATAAAATAGAAAAAAAATAGAGGGGTTGAGGGTTTTTATTCTGTGGTTTCTAGAAACATGAGAGTTTTTTTAGTTTTTAATTTTGGGGGTGACCGAAAATCAATTAAGGGGCTAAGGCAATCAATAAAAGAATTTAAAAGTTTTCCAGGTTTCTGGAAGTTTTTTTTAGGGAAGAGTTTTTTGGGTTCAATTTTCTAGCTCTAGGAATTTTTTATTTTGATTCTGGAATTTTGGTTTGATGGAATAGTTCTTGGTTCTAAAAGCTTGATTGTGGATTTAGATTTGATTTTTGGGTTTGTTTTGAATTTATGGAGTTGAATTGATTTTTTGAAATTTTATGGGTTTGGTTTTTTTTTTGGAAAATTTTTTTCTGGAAAAAGATGAATTTTTCTATGAATGTTTAAAGTTCATGACAAGGTTTTCTAGTTCCCAACAACCTTTCGGCAAAATTTCCCAATTATCAACATACTTTTTCAAAGACTGACAAAAATTCAATTAGTGTTCATACGATTACAGAGTGAAACAAAGAAAAGAAGGGGAAAAGAGATAAGGGAAAAAGAAATATGAAAGAAAAAAAAATCAAAATCTTGGCTTTTATACCTAAGACAAAACAATGTCATTTTGGCAACAAATTGACCCACGTAAACCCACGTGGATCTGCCCCTTGACCCGTTTATTGACTTGACCCGATTGCAAGTTTTGTTTTATATTTTCTTTTTATTTTTGTTTTTGATTTTCTTAAATTTCCATTTCCTTTTTTTTTATGTTGTATTATTATTATTATTTTTTATTATTATTATTATTATTATTATTATTATTATTATTATTATTAAAATTTAAAAGGAATGAAGAAAAGAAAAAAAAATTTGGTAATATTATTTATGGTGTTTTTCATTTATATCTTTGTATGAATATTAATTAATTACATGATATTTTATATTAATTGTATGATAATTTATATATTATATTATTGCAAGATTATATTATT